ACATAGAACTCACACCAAGGGCGCTCGGTTGAATGTCAAACAGTAGCCATCACCTTTCAACCATTCTACTACCCTCAAGAATTGGAGCTGCAAGAAACTCAATCCTCTTTCGATTCTTTAACCGTCTTGGGACGTCTTTGAGCAAGTGTTCTCTTCGTGCTCTCGAGGACACCAAAGAAGATTGAACCTCCAATACCTATCCACAACACTCTTGGCCCTATACCCTATTAAAAGCATAGTGCAAGGATTAGTGTTTTCGTAGTCTTATTGCTCTGCTCAAACTCTAAAATAGCGTGTGTGTGTGTGTGTGTGTACCTTTAAGAGAGCAGAAGCGCCTTCCTCTCTTACAATTGTTTGAACACAATCAACTATTCCTTGATATTGTTTTGCTGATCCCTGAGAAGATCAAGCAAGATGATTAGCACTTGGAGAGAAATAGAGACTTTTAAGGTGTGACATTATTACCTGAACCATTAATCTTGTCTTAATAACATCAAGTGGAGTGGTGACTGCTCCTGTCAGAGCACCTGCATAAACCCACAATGAAAAGTTCAACCAAGTTATCACAATCACACTGTCACTGACTGGTTTCTATGTAATAACAAGTTATACAAAGCATATTAATTATACTTTGTTATAATGGATCATTCTTCTTTCAGGTAGTAGAATTAAATCTCACTGTCAGGTCAGATTGTGAGGATTGTGCTATATTCACCACATCTATCATCAAAATTTAATGGATCCAGAAATTGTCACTAACCAGCAAATGCACCAATGAGAGCGTTCTCAGGATCATTAAGCTCTCTACGCGCCTGCCAAAAAAGTTGAGCAAAAGTTAAATCTCATGCCAAAATATCACAAGTTACAATGAGTCTGTATTTTGATTATTTTTGGAAAGAAAGCTTACTGCTCTTTTATACCCCAAGCACAGCTGCTCATATATGCAGAACTGAATAGCATCAAACGGCAAATCTCTTAATAGGAAGGATCGGTATCCCTATAAGAAAAATGAAACAAGTTACCACACAAAAATCCAGCAAAAAATAACAGAATAAAGGAAGAGCTTAAGAAAAGGTCTTAGTTACTAACTGCAAAGAGACCCTTAAATCCCTCTTGTGATGCAATAACTCGAACAGCGTTGGGAGCTGATGTAAACTGTCCAGTCTGCATTCTCTGCTTCACAACCTAAAGAACACACACATGGAAATGTCACTTTGAAGGATTCTATTGCAGAACATGATCAAGAGAGGAAGTTTTTTAAACCTCTGTAGGCACTCGAATCAGAGATGCAGCAAGTCCACCGATGGCCCCTGCAGTCTGTGGAATTTGATACAAGGACAAGATTACTGTTCTTGACCCTCAATACAAGGAACAATTCAACGATCTAGAAATTCATTGTTGCTTATTGTATCTCTCACCAAGTGAGCAACTGCGCTTAAATGATCAGGAAGGGTCTTAAGTAGTTTCTGCTTTGTGGGTTCGTAAACTCCAACAAATAAAGCTGAAGCCCTACAAAGAAACATTGTCAAAAAACTATCAGCCTTCACCAGTGTCTAGTAGACCAGAAAGATTGTTCTGAATCAACAAAAGAGGAACTATGGCGTCAAAACAAGTATAAAATAGAAAAGGAACAAGGTTATAGTTTGTCAATACTATCTAAATGATTGGGTACTGATCAATGAACAAGAAACCAGACACTCATCACTTGTAGTTACTGTATCAGTCTTCACCAGTGTCAATTAGACTAGAAAGATGGATCTGAATCCACAAAAAAAAGTAACTATGGATGAGCACACAGTACACTTACGGTAAAACACCAGCGATATTTCCAGCTAATCCTGAATATAGACCCTTCAAAACAATCTTCCCACCTCCACGAGCTGCCTACATCATAAAGAATCAAAATAATTAAACTCTTTCCAAGACCAAACGATTACATGAGCTTAGTTGCAAACAGTTAAACTCAATCCTAACAAAGAACTGAACTTTTAAAAAGTTCCTTGACCTGCCTGAAGTCTAGTCTTTATAGTATCAATAGGGTACAAAGCTGTTTCAACCACAACTCCAGCTGTACCTCCTGCTACAAACCCCTCTGCATCATTCAAAAAAACGCAAGAAAAGAAACATCTTCAGATTCAAAGACTGTATCTTTACATCAAATTCATAAAACCAACCCTGCAAATGAACCAAAAGAAGAGACACTACGACAAGTTGTTAACATACCAAAGAGAGTGCGGAAGAAATCAAAAGGGTTTTCGTTCTCTGTATTCACTGAAGCAAAGCCTTTGCTTTTCTTGAGCTGTGGAATCTGCACTAACCTATTCGAAACATCTGCCAAAAACCCCATCACATAAATCACAACACATTCTCTCCTTCAATGAAGTAAAAAAAAAAATTACAAAAAATAAAAGACATCTCTTTTTTTTTCTTACCGGGAGCACTGGATGAAGAGCTCTTCACATCAACAGAGAGTGTAAGAGGAGCCATAAGAACCGTCTCTGACCTAAATTTACCAATTCAATTTCATTACACACACAAAACCAATACCAAACTAGTCAAAGTCAAGAAACATACAAATACGTATACAGAGACAGCGATAGAAAGTAAACGTAGTCAATGCAATAGAGACGAGATTACAGGAAGAAAGGGTAGAAAGTATACCAGAGGAGGAGTCGGTAGAGTAGAGAAAGAGGAGCAGGTAGAGATAGCACAGAGTTCACTTTCTTGGGCTCTCTCTCAGGAAAGGGATTAAAACCGTTTTTTAATTACAATTATGGGCCTTATGGATCCAGTAAGCCCACAAAGAATAAATGGCCATTACAGTAAAAGCCTGTCATTGATTTCGTTGAAATGTGTATATTGTTAATTAATTTTAATCACATTTTATATGTTTTGTGATGTAACTTGTCCACCTTTTTTTTTCTACTTGATTTTCCAACAATAGATATTATAAATTCATTATATTAGATACATTTCAATTATCAGTCATGATTTTATTACGTAGCTATTTGAAATTCACAATATTTGTAAATTTCCATTTTGAATCATAATTTTAAAACAACAATTAACCATTCTTGAAACACCTTTACTTTGCACCAAATTTAAGCAAAAAAAAAAACATCATTACCGTATTATTTTTATGCAAGTTATGATATATTGTAAAACAGATATCAACATTCACTATTTCAAGTTGAGTATTATTATTTTTTTTTCTGCCAGCCAAATCTCTTTTCTTAAATGTGACTTTTAAACCATGCTTCATGTGGCTCGATCTTGTGTCCTTTAATCACCTCAATGTCGTAGTTTTGTAAAATCTCCACCACTATTATCTTCAAATGGTCATAGCTGTATGCTTACCCAGACAAGTTCTTGGGCCAGCATTAAACAATTAACCATCATTATTGTAAAACAACAATTAACAATTCTTGAAACACCATTACCTTAATTATTATTCATAGAAGTTGCGATACATTGTAAAACAATGGTTAAGCATTCATAATATTATCTCAAGCTGAGCATCTCCCATTTATTTGTTTATTTAGTTTCTGACAGCCAAACCTCTTTTCTTAAATGTGACTTTAAGCCCATGCTTCATTTGAAGAAAAAGAAGAGGAAGTGGCTCGATCTTCTGTCCTTTAACTACCTCAATGTCATAGTTTTGTAATAGCTAGAGGTGTCAATTGGGCGGGCCGACCATGGGCTAGCCCTGTCCAATTCATTTTGGACGGGCTATGGACGCGCCCAATTCATATATGGTCCAACTGTATAAAAACCCAATTGGTCTATGGTCTAACTGGTCAAAGACCAAATGGACAATGGGTGTCCATGGGCCTCCAAAACACACAATTTCATAATTTTTATTTAAAANTGGACGCGCCCAATTCATATATGGTCCAACTGTATAAAAACCCAATTGGTCTATGGTCTAACTGGTCAAAGACCAAATGGACAATGGGTGTCCATGGGCCTCCAAAACACACAATTTCATAATTTTTATTTAAAACATAGTTTTTGACAAAAACTTTTTGTGAAAAATCAAGATTTTACGGTTTTTGATAGAAAAAAAAAGTAGTTTCACAATTTTGACAGAAATTATAATTTTACGGTTTTCTCGGAAAACGTAATTTCTCATTTTTGGCGGGAAAACGTGATTTTTCGGTTTTGGCGGGAAAACGTAATTTTATTGTTTTTGGCGGGAAAACGTAATTTTACTGTTTTTTGCGGGAAAGCGTAATTTTACAGTTTTGGCGGGAAAACATAATTTTCCGGTTTTGGCGGGAAAACGTGATTTTTCGGTTTTGGCGGGAAAACGTGATTTTCTGGTTTTGGCGGGAAAACGTGATTTTTCGGTTTTGGCGGGAAAACGTGATTTTCTGGTTTTGGCGGGAAAACGTGATTCCACAGTTTTGGCGGGAAAACATAATTTTACAGTTTTGGCGGGAAACGTGATTTTACGATTTGGGCGGAAAAACGTGATTTTACAGTTTTGGCGGGAAAACATAATTTTACAGTTTTGGCGGGAAACGTGATTTTACGATTTGGGCGGAAAAACGTGATTTTACAGTTTTGGTGGGAAGCATGATTTTACGATTTAGGCGGAAAACGTGATTTTACGATTTGGGCGGGAAAACATGATTTTACAGTTTTGGCGGGAAAACGTAATTTCTGATTTTTGTGGGAAAACTGTGTTTTTTTTTTATTTTGACGGAAAAACGTGATTTTTTTTATTTTGGCGGGAAAATGTAAATTAAATTAAATTAAGTACAAATATGTAAACAAATAAAAATAAATAATTTAAAGATATTACAAAATTTAATTAAATCCAAAATTTTAAATTATATACAAATTAATAAAATTAAAAAATAAACAATACACAAATGGTTTTGGTCATTTGGGTGTCCATGGTTTGTCCATTTGGACATGGGCTTTAGTGGTCTTCGGCACTTTTTGGACCACTGTCCAATATGGACCACCCATTACTGCCCAAAAACTGAAATGGTCTAAATGGTCAAGCCCAAATGGGCTCTGGGCGGCCCATTTGACAGCTCTAGTAATAGCTGCACCACTATTATCTTCATATCAGTCATAGCTGTATGCTTACCAGGACAAGTCCTTGGCCCGGCATTAAACGAAAAGAACTTGTAGGACGGTTCATGTCTCAACCTTCCTGTCTCTGAAACCCATCTCTCTGGCTTAAACTCCAATGCGTCGTGTCCCCATATAGATTTCATCCTCCCCATCGCGTAAAGAAAGAACATGACTGTAGAGTTCGCAGCCACTTTATGCCCACTTGGAAGCACGTCTGGTTTTACAGAAGTCTTTCGTTGGAACTGAGCTGGTGGGTAGAGTCTCATTGCTTCATACAACGTGGCATGTAAGTACACGAGCTTGTCCAAGTACTCTAGGTCAAATCCGGTATTCTTGTTGATTTCTTCGCGAATTATAGTTGTCACTTGAGGATTTTCAGATAAAAGCCAGAAGAACCAAGACAGAGATGAGGCCATGGTGTCTCTTCCCGCTACGATGAAACCCACGAAAACATCTCTTAGGAATTTATCATCAATGGGACTCAAGAGCTCGTACTTGGCTGTATCTAGTTTTATGAAAAAAGTTAAAACATCATCATGTTGTGTGATCTCATCTCTCTTAGCCGATATGTATTTTGAACAAACACGATCAATTATTGCATCAGCTTCTACCATCTTCTTCTCTGGTCCGAACCCTATCCACTTTTGCACCTTCCAAAAGAATCTTGGTGTAAGATGTCTATACACAATCGCTTCTCCGACAGTGTCGAATGCTTTAACGAACTCATCTTCACGCATTTCAATGGAGAGTGTTCTAGGATCAGACCCGGTTATTGTAACTAGGGTAGTGTCAAAGGTGAATCTCCTGAAAACATCTTGCAAGTCCACGACCGTCCCTTCCTCTGCAAAATGGTTGAAAAGAGGCAAGAGCACGTCCCTAAGCTTGCTTGTTGTGGCACTCATTGAAAGCCTCTGAAACCCTTGGTGATGGAGAAGGGCATGGTAACACTTCTTCAGCTTGCTAGCTCGCTCGGCGTCTGAGTTGATTATCCCGTCTCCGAAAAATCCAAAGATCTCTTGGAAATCTTCACCTTTGATGTAGTTGGAGAAATTTGAACTCATTATATGATGAATATTAGCTGGATCGACCGTGACCAATATATCACTCCCAGAAAACCATGGACCCTTGAATGGGAACGTCATGTTAGAGTTCTCAAGAACTTCGGCGCTTTCATGTATCCTTTGAATCCTCACAAGCAAACCCGGAGACATCCCAAGAATTGGCCAGTTCCAGAGGGAGCTTTGAAAAGTTTTCTTGTTGAGATAATAATAGACCATAATAAGAAAGCAAAAGGAAGCTAGGAATGCTTGAAATAAACTGATAAAAGCCATTATAAAAAGAAGAGGAATTACTTGGAATGACCCAAATTGATCTTAAAATGACTATAATGACTCATATAAAATTTTAAATACTAGACCCTATTTTGTAACAAGCAAATGGACTAAAATACCCTTTTAATGTGTGCAATCCAAAAAAAAAGTTTACGAGGAAAAAAAACATTAAACATAAAAGAAAAAATAAATTAGATTCAACATAAAAGAGAAAAATAAAATTGTTTCTCGGGTCTCTCTCTTTCTCGCACGACAACGACGATTTCAAAGGGAGGGGATTCTTCGATCGAGTCTCGTCGTCGTTCTTCTCTCACTCCGACACCATCACCTCTGTCAGAAGTCCATCTCGTCGACTTTGTCTCTTACGTCGCATCTTTCCACAGACCAGAATGATGTGATCCATTGTTCTGTAAACAGAAAGAATGGAAGAAAGTGTTCAAACCACCATGAAAGGAACAACTTGAGAAAGAAGAAAAGAGGGGTGAAAGAGATGACGACAGTTACTAAAAAAATAATTAGCCCTAATTGTGGTCTTAAACCACTAGAAATAAANATAACAAGTCGGCCACGTCGTAATGCAACAAGTCTACAGCATTTGTAAATCTGTGATAGATTTGCCTTAAGTCTACCGTAGGAAGAATAGATTTTCTATACAAATCGGTCATAACTCAACAAGTCTGCCTTTCGAAAATAAGTCGATCGCACAAATCTGTGGTTTGATACAAATCTGTTGTGTCATCCGACAGACATATATAAGAAATCGTTTTTTTAATACAAATCAGACAAAATATAGACAAATCTGTTGTGTCATACGATAGACATTTTTAACAACTCTGTTATACGGCAGGGGTAATTCTGACCACGAAAACATTCTAATAATTTGAAAAAAAATATGAGTCATTCTAGTAATATCACCATAAATTTGAGTCATTCTAATTTTCTTCCCTAAAAAGAAAGTTGAATTATGTTACAAATGATAGATATTATACAAGATGAAGTCGAGTCCTCAAGTCCCAGCGTTCACTACACCTTTATAACTAGATGATTTTTACTCTTAATTCACATTGAGTATATGTTTGGAAACAGCTTGTCTGTATTTAAAAAAACATGTGCATCGTTTATTTTAACCATCATCGAAAGAACGAGCTGGACTGTTAGTGATCTCTCCTATATACACGGATCACAAATAATAGCATCCAGCGCAAAGAAATTTGAGTGTCGGTTTTTTCTTGACAAATAAGTTACCAAAGAGATTTGCGTTAGAAAGTTTCATGAAGAGATTTCTTGTTGAGAAAACAATCGCATGGGTTAATGTCTTTATTTAGAAGGTAGCAAAATTGAAGTGTCTCTAGTTGCTTTGTCGACAATTTAGCATTGTAATGAGAGTTTCTTGATATGATGGAGTAACTTGCATGTAGAAATTTCTTGCTAAGAAAGTAATAACATGGGAGTTGATTGTCTTGAAGAGGAGCTAGCAAAATTAAAATTCTAGTTGACTTGTCTACAATTTAGCATTGTTATGAGATTTCCTCGTAAAGACATATACTTAGGCATATAAACTATAACAGTCTCTATATATTTACAATTAAATTCCCTTAAATTTATCTTGGATCTACTAAGATTTACTCAGGACCTAGCTTCCAAACGGCTTTTTTTTCTTCATATTCTTCATCTATATAAACAATATTTATGGTGTTGTTAAAAAGTCATTTCATAGATAATTAAAATTCATGCGTACATCCATACAAGGCTAAAAGATTCTGAAACAAATGGTCTACAAATGAATCAAAGATTGACGAGATTTATATGAGTTCAAGTGATTTGGTTTTCTTCAATTAATTAAGAAAGTGCGCTTTGTAAGAAGAACAAAATACTTGTATGGTCTAAATAAGTAAAGCTATGTTACGGGTTTCTCTCATATGTAATCAAAACTAGTGTGTAGCATTGAGATAATGACAGTAAACTTTTATCTTACTAAGCCACAATGCATACATTTTCTAAAAATAAATAAACAGTTCAGTGTTCATTAATACAAAATGAAAAATAAGATAGAAGTAAACTTCCTCAAATCACAAATTTACCAACCTTGCAAAGACCCCAAGACAAATACATATGGACAAATACATACTATAACCGATAGATTATTGGAACAACTCAATGACATTAACATTTCAAGCTGAACATCTCTTAGTAAGCGTGACTCTAAGCCCATGATTCATCTGAAGAGCAAGACGAGGCCTTGGCTCAATCTTGTGTCCTTTAACGAGATTAATGTCAAAGTTTTGTAATATCTCCACGGCTACGGTCTTCATTGTCACCATAGCTAAATGCCTACCAGGACAAGTTCTTGGACCGGAGTTAAATGCTAAAAACTTGGAAGAAGGCTCATGTCTCAGCCCTCCGGTCTCTGAAATCCATCTCTCTGGCTTGAATTCCCACGCATCTTCTCCCCATACAGATCTTATCCTCCCTAAAGCATAAATAGGGATGAGAATGTTAGAGTTTGCACCTATTTTGTGCCCACTTGGAAGCACATCTGATTTTATAGGAGACTTGCGCTCGAACGGGATTGGTGGATATAGCCTCATTGCTTCATACAATGCCGCATGTAGATACACCAACTTGTTCAAAAACTCTTTGTGATCGATAGCCGACCATGGCCTCTCTTTTGGTAGATTTGTGTTGATCTCTTGGCGAATCTTGGCTTCCACGTTAGGGTTTTTTGTGAGGAGTCCGAAAAACCAAGTGAAACCAGTGGCAGTGGTATCTCTCCCTGCGAAAATGAAAGATAAAAGGATTTCTCCAATGAACTTATCGTTGCTTGGATCCAAGTGCTCGTACTTGCTTGTATCTAGCTTTATGAAATATGTTAAAACATCATCACTTTCTCCATTGGAATGATCATGATCATGATCAATCCCTTGTGATCTTATCTCTTCTCTCTTTGCATCAATGTATTTCGCGCAGATTCGATCAAAAGTTGCACCAGCTTCTATCAACTTCTTCTCTTGACCCAATCTCATCCATCTTTGAAACTTCCAAAAGAATCTTGGTATGACATGCCTAAGCAAAATGGCTTCCCCAGCATTATCAAAGGCTTCCGCGAACTCAACCTCTGGCATTTCAAAGGAGAGAGACTGAGGATCAGAACCGGATACTATAACTAGGGATACATCGAACATGAATCTCCGGAACACATCTTGCAAGTCCACCACTGTCCCATCTTCCGAAAATCGACTAAAAAGAGGAAGAAGCACGTTCTTGATTTTACTTGTTATGACACTCATTGACAAGTTTTGAAAACCTTGATGATTGAGCCTGGCCTGAGAAGACATCCTTATGTTCTTCCATATCTCTCCGTCCGTGACGAATATCGCGTCTCCATAGATATCGAATATCTCTTTGAACTCAGGTCCTTTGACGTAGTTGGAGAAATTGGAGGTCAATATATGATGTATATTAGCTGGATCAACGGTGATCAACGCATCCATTCTAGCGAACCATGGACCCTTGAAAAGAAATGTCAAGTTGGTTTTCTCAATGATCGAGATGGCATCATCAATCCGATTGAGCCTCACGAGCACAGCTGGAAGCATCCCAAGAACAGGCCAGTTCCATGGGTAGCTTTGAAGGGCATTTTTGATGTACAAGTAACCATAAGTTTTCTTGTTGAGAAAGTAACAGAAGACGAGAAAGCAAAAAAGAAATATGGATGCTTCAAATAAGTCAATAGAAGCCATTAGGGAAGTTTGATAATGGGTATTGTGGAGAAGAAGAAGAAGAAGGAACTGGATTTATATACACATAATAAAAAGTCTATTGTTTGAATACGTTTAACTAATGTAAAATATATTTTATTTCATATCAGAGATAGTGAAGACAGCGTGTCGATCAATAGTGAGATAAACAAGGAATAGGATAAACAAATGATCCGTGATGCGCTCTCCAATAAACAAGGATCACATGATCGAGTTTGGACAGTGCAAAGTTGCTTAAGTGAAAGGCTTTCTTGATAATGAAGCAACTGAAGGGTCTCTTAATGAGAACGCAACTGAAGGAGTAACCTTGCTGAGGAAGTCATCGAGTGTAGGTTTTGAATACAGAATGGTTCAGAGATATTTTCTTAAAACTAATTGGAAAATTTAAAGAGGTTGAAGAGTTTATTGGAACATATACATTTAGGATTCATGGTGGTTTTTCCTTCTGTGTGGATTATATATAGGGCCTAATTATATCTATGTCTTGTTGTTGTTTTGATGACGATCAATCGACGTGTTCTGTTTGCATGCATATTATAAAACTTCAAAAAGAACTAAATAAACACATGATTTAATATTGTCACACATGCCAATTGAACCACATTTAAGTGCATGTGTATATAACTTTTTCCTTACATGTCAATATCTTATATATACTCAGGATCTTAAATTTGGGAGGGCCGTAAACATTTCTTAAGATTTTTTTTATAATTTTTCCATAATTTAAGGGTTTTTATCTATATGAAAACTTTTAAAAAATTTGAGGGCTAAATAAGTATATCACTACAAGAAAACTCGTCCATTACTAGGACGGGTTTTCCTCGTTAGTTCCTAGTAAATGGCCTTTTACTAGGAACTTACGAGGAAACGCGTTTCCTCGAAACACGTTCATCGTAAAGACATTTTCCTCGTAAGGTTGTAGCGAATTTACGAGGAAAGTTTTCCTCGTAAAGGCGTGGTAATATTTTCCTCGTAAG